CATAAACACAAGGCTTATTCCCAACACAAGGCTTATTCCCAGCCCATGAGGCTACCCGCGAATAATATACACATGCGTTCGAATCCTGACGGGACCGGATGGATACAATAAGGTTAAAGACTACCCGCTCTAAAGAAAGAAAGGAAAAAAAAAAAAAAAAAAAAGAAAAAGAGGCTGGCGAAGATTCCACGTGCACGCTTTCGCTATCACTGCGAGTGTCCGCACGTTGTAGGTCTCACACTTACGGGGAATATGCACGATCACGCAAAATAGATCATAACATTCCCCCCGTCATCCTTCCTCTTTCCTCCTCCCCGCCCCTCTCCCCCGTTCTCGCTCCCCCCCACGAACCCGCTTCGTCGAGAGCCTCCGCCATCTTGATGGCCAAGAAAAAACGTGCTTGCATCCATGTACGCCTTACTTGCTTAATGATTGTATAATCACTGTGGACAGTACAATCCTACAATCCTACACGTGTCAACACCTCGGTGAGCCGTGATACCAATCCGCAAAAGCCTGATCGTCACCTACTTGCCATGTGCACGCACTTTCACTCCAGAGCAGAGGCGAATCCGTTAGCGTAGCCATAAACACATTTACAGTTTATAGCATACACATCTCTCTCTCTCTCTCTCTCCCCCCCTCCCCAAAAAAGGGGGAGTGGGGCAAAAGAAAGGTGGGCTGTGACAGAGTGCTTCGCGGATTCTACCGATGCATCAGCACGCGAAACTACAAATGCCCTGTTTTTTTTTTCCCCTCTCTTTCCACCCACGGATCACCAGGGAGATACTTACCACAACATTGTTGTTGAATCACATATATATTGTCATATATGTATATCCATAGCGTCACATGATTTTGGTGGCCAGGCGATAAGCTGGCAAGCAGCCGGTCCGGTAACAAATTTGCGGTTTTCTTTTTCTGGGTTCGTTTACAATGCATAGCAACCCCCTCCCACCGTACATCACTCAGATGCGAAGCGCGCGAGAACGTTCGTTCCTTTCAGCAGTCGGTGTGAAAGAATTCAACACTAAAACCCTTGCTACCCGTACTGCTTTGAAACTCCTTTCTACGTTTGAGGAAACCTTTTGCATGCAAAATTCAGAGCCCCAACTGTGTCCTGCTTTTCTATCACTCGTCGCAACTTCGACGTGATCTTTCACAACGCGACGACAGGGAACGCGTCGTGATACATCTACATCATCGAGATTTACTAATCATTAACGCTACCAGGGCGTGCGCGCGGCGGGGGCCGTCGAAGGGGGGGGGGGGGGGGGGGTTCGAACCGCTCCGATACCAGTGTAACGGGGGGGAGGGGGGGGGGGGGGGGGGGGGGGGGGGGGGGGGGGGGGGGGGGGGGGGGAGGCGAGGGACAGGATCTTACACTACTAGTAATTCATATCAATATAGTCATTCTTAAGGCTAAATCGTCTGTAGAGCCCGGGGGGGGGAATGGGGGCAAAGGAGCGCAATCCTATCTTAAACCACCAGTTCATTGCCCACCCAACTTGAGAATGACGAGTCGAGCCGATTTCCCAGAAGCGTGCAGCTCCTCACCAACGGAACGGCGCCATCTAACAGCCTCTCCTCTGACATGGTGGTGCTCTTATCACCCCGCGAGAGACTTGGAGGAAGGCAAACGAGACGTTTCTAAAAGGAGGCCGGGGGGTGAGAGGGGGGGGGCGGGGGGGGAAGAAAAAAAAATCGGAGGCTCGGGGCAACCGGACCGAAATGGCTGGCGGCGGCAGCCAAAGCTAAAAAAGAAAGCCGCGCTGGCGTCTCGGGAAAAACTTGCACGCAGTGGGAATCCGCCTCGTACAAATGAAGGTCGGATGTACTGGTGGTTTAATTATAGATTCACATTCATTCATCAGTTTAATATCTGATCTGTGGTCCATCGGGCCACACGATATTAAATTATTTTTTCAGGGCTACGGAGGGGTCATAGGGGTAGGCTTGCCTACTCGACCCTTCCACCTTTGCCTTCGTATTGCACTGCAGCGGAGCGTCGCGCGGCCCATTTAAAAAAAAAAAATAAAAAAAAAATAAAAAAAAAAAATCCTCCGTAGAGTGGGGCTACAATCTTCACCTTCAGTTTCAAGACATTTCTCTTCCCATGAGATGTATGTATGTGGGTTGGGACATTTACACCTTGCAATGCATTTACTTGGTCCAAAACCTGAACTCAGTACATGGTTTACATAATTAGTTACTAAATTACTGATGACGACAAATTATCTGTACCGATAAAAGAACGACTACCTAGCGTCAATAATGATGAATTGCCTGTAAAGACGGAACCGATCCATTTTTTATTTTCTATCTCGCTGTGTACTAAGGAGTTAATAGACATTAGTTGTATAATAGTAACACGATAATAATGTATCTATTAGGTTCCCTTTTGACTCCCCGAGCAACATCCCACGCTTCAGAGATCACTTGCCTCGATACCCAGCAGCGCGCGGAAATCCTTCCGCCCATGCCAGCATTCGTCCACGGATTCGCCGCTCATTCTCTCTCACGTCTCAACACCCAGCAGCGCGCGGAAATCCTTCCGCCGTCCTTCATCCCCCTCGTCCTCCATCTCCTCCCTCCAAGTCGCCCGTTCTTTTCTCTCCCCCCCCACTTCCCCCCGAAGTCACCCTCCCGCGCCAGTCTCTCAAACGGCATTATGCACAGCCTCAAAGATTTTATCAAAAGAAATCATAAGCACTGACTCATGATCCTCTATTCTCGGCATTTCTTTCTCAACGCTTACACTTCCTCCTCTCCATTATCTTTACTTCTCTACTCATCCTTTTTCTCCTCTTTTATCAAAAGGGCGACGGCCTTGAGATATCATCATTGAACTGACCGGCCCGAAGTAATTCAAATTACTTTATTCTGGTCAACTGCTTACATCTGGATTCGGACTTGGGTCTGGGAACAAGACGCCACGTCATTGTGTATATTTCAACAAGACGCCACGTCATTATATATATCTCAACAGTTCGTGGGTGTTGTACCAACTGCGCTAGGCTCGTTGGTTCCACTCATCCTTTTCAGTCTTGCAACAAGACGCCACGTCATTGTATATATCGTCACACCGTGTATCGGAGCGCGAAGGCGAAAAAAGACAAAACAAAAAAGGAAAGTAAAGCTCCCCCTGTTCATCACCTCTTACGTACACGGCCGGCCACGTGGATGATATATATCGTCACAAGCATATCAGAGCGCAAAAGCGAAAAAAAGAAAAAGAAAGAAAGAAGGAAAACAGGGAAAAATGAATAAAATGAATTCATGATTTAATCTTCTTCCTTATAACTCCCCCTGTTCAGAACCTCTTCCGTACAAGGTCCGCCCACGTGGATGTAGGTTGAGCGGCGGCTGCCCCCACCCCCGTGTGTCATATCGACCCACTTGCACACAGCCAGAATATATATATATATATATCGTCACAAACAGAACTGCCCGATAAAACCGTAGGCAGAGAGAGAGAAGAGGACAACAAACGAGGGGCCGTGACAAACTGTTTCGTCGGAGTTTCACCGACTCATATATATATATATATATATTGTCGCAAGAATATCAGAGCGCAAATGCGAAAAAAAGAAGAAAAGAAGAAAGAAAAACAGGAAAAAATGAATTCAGTTTTTTATCTTCTTCCTTATAACTCCCCCTGTTCAGAACCTCTTGCGTACAAGGCCGCCCACGTGGATGTCGGTTGAGCGGCGGCTGCCCCCACCCCCGTGTGTCATATCGACCCACTTGCACACAGCCAAAAGGCAAAGAGGCAAAGAAAAGAGGAAGGGAACAGCCAAATAAAAACAGATCCCAGATGACACGTCCCACATGCAAGCACCGCCCCTGCCCACAGGCCAAACGACGGGACAAGACCAACCAGGATGTCAAGCATTCTTGTCTGCAAATAAAAAATAAAATAAAAAACGGAGGACCGGTATAGAAAACAATCCCGGATGACGATTCCCATTAACAACTTTCTTTTGCCCCCCTTCGCCCCTCGGGCACCTGTTTCCTGCACCCTGCTTCCCCTTACCCCCTTCTTCCACTCGACCTACCCTTCTAATTCCATTCAGTTTGCTCTTCTCGCTCTTCCACGTGTCAGGTTCGGTAATTCCCGTGTCTACTTTCCCCATCCAGCCATGTGTTCTGTTTACAAAACCTTCCTGGCGCATCTCAACAGACCCGCCTCCGCGATAAAGAAGTGAGGGGCATCGGAACACGCGCGCAATATTGACGGTCTGAAAAAGCAGCTCCTTCGCATTGGGTGCGTGATTGCTAATTTATTTGCGGGGAAGAGAACACTGCTAGTCTCTTCCCCGCCAATGAATGCACCTATGGATGGAGCTCGTGAAATGGTCAGTCGTCGATAGTCGACCAATTGATTGATCACTTGCCCCGCCTTGTCCTTCCCGACCATCGGCCTCTCCATAACATGCGAGCGCCACCCCCCCCCCTCCCCCGATCTGTGAGCAATTCGTCCACAAGTCATCCATACAGTACTCCATAACTGGTTAACTACTTGCTGGTCAACTTCTTCGAGTCCTCGCTGACACTCTTCGTCATTCCCCCCCCCTCTCCCCCGTCTCTCTCTCTCTCTCTCTCTCTCTCTCTCTTCCCCACCCCGCCCACCCGCCCGCCCTCTCGTGCGCTTCGCAAGGGACCATCGCACCTCGGAAATATGTTCCGTCAGTCATCCACCCAAGTGATGTGCATTTCCTCCCTCAAATAACGAACACACCCTTACCATGACCCGTTCTCTCTCTCTCTCTCTCTCTCTCTCTCTCTCTCTCTCTCTCTCTTGCGCGCGCGCAACACGCAACTCGGCGTACGGGGAGCAAAATCGAGCCAACGTCGGTCCCGATACCTACTTGATGACGGGATTTAGAATTGATATCCTCTGATCAAAGAATCGTGATCCCGAACGTCAAGTGAGACGACAGTGAAGCGACGAAATGAAACGTAAAAGGAAAGCACGTGGGAAGGACGACAAGACGCACCTTATTTAGCAAGAAGTTCGGGTAGAGCTGATCGTGTGTGAGGAATTGCAAGCACGCCGGGCAGTTGCGTTTATTCCTCAGGTGGGTAGTGATGCACGTGTAACAGAAGCTGTGACCACACGCCGTCAAGAACGCGTCCTTCATCGTGGACATGCATATCGGGCACAGAAAATCCTTATCTACTGGTGTTCCACCCGCCCACGCGCCCGTCATCAGCATTCTCGTGGGTGAGATACCAGTACCCCCCCCTCCTCGTCTATTCCTCTCGCTCTCCTCTCCATAACATTCCGTGGTCATCAGCTCTGTCTTCACACAAGACAGAGAGGGCACTTGCGTTGGCGTTTGGGTGGGCGCCAGCAGTGACCCGTCGCTACAATTCGTCGTCATTGATGAAGACAACACGAACGACGACGGGGATCCCGACTGCTGCACTCGGCCGCGACGGCGACGGCCCAGTGGGAAAAGCTGGCGCGGAAGAATCTTGACGCTTGACGAATGAGGGGAAAGGGAGCTGCCGCCTCCTCCGCCAGCCTCCGAGCTCCCCATCACCGATAGCGTAGGCCGGCAACACTGCAGGCCATAGCGAAGTGCTCGGAGACAGAAGCGCAGGCTCCCAATCAATCAACAAGAGGAAGAGAATGGAAGAGAGAACGGCGATAACAAGGAGGCACAGAGGAAGAAAACAGGAGGGGAGATAGACGACGTCTCTCGAATATGATCCGTCTTCTTCTTCCTCCGATTAATTATGCTCCTTCTATCAGGTCACCCTCAACCCTGCATTTACGGGCCAGGCATATATAAGGCGAGAGAGTAATCTTGCACTTTTTCAGCAGGCTTGACACCGCAGTCAACGCAGGTGCCCCCACTCAGAGCGCCAAGTCCCTTTGGTCGGCCGCGATGGGGGGACACACTTGGACTTCCCATCTTCGACGTTGATCAAACATAACCGCCCGCCCACCCGCACACCTCAGACGAACGAGTTCGGGTCGCCAACAATTATCTCAGGGATTGAATTGATTGGATTGATTGATCGATCGAATCTGTATCATAATCGCCTCCACTTCGGCTACTTCTCCATTTCTCCGTCTGCTTCTCCCTTTCATTTTCCCATCACCGCCACCACCCGTCCCATCCACGTGTTTCAGCCACCCTGATCCCGCAGTCACTCTCAAGGCTCCCCGCCTCCTGCCTCCCACCAAATCTCACCCCTCCTTCCGATTACCGTACGTACGGGTCGGTCCGTGTTTCGCTAGGCTTCCCGCCTCCTGCCTCCCACCAAATTCCACCCCTCCTTCCGATTAGCGTACGTATGGGTCGGTCCGTGTTTCGCTCCCTCCTACTTCCCGCCCCCGCCTCATCTCGCTCCCCTCTTGCGCACAGTTTTGCATTCCGCGCTACTACGCTTCCGGTTCCTCGGCAGCAACACTGGCTGTCGCGTTCGCTTTCACAGAGGGCAACGTGTGCCACTTGCGCCCTTGCGCAGTTTTCCGAATCCGAGTGCGCGGGGGTTGCCTCTCGATTTGCACTCTCCCGCCAGTCGGCGCGGGGTGGTTATGTCGAGTTGGCGAGGCGGTGGCGCTCGCGCCAAATGACTTGCCCGCCGGCCAGGGCGTGGGCGTGGGCGTGGGCGAACACTGTCAAACGAACGAAGGCAGACGTACGTCCGCAACGCAACTAGATGGGGAACGTGCACGTGGATCCGAATGGCGGCACCGCTTGATCAAAGCCACCAGCCCGCCTCTAGAACGAATCGATATCGCGCCTCTCCTATCGTTTGCGCTGGCAGCGCGCTGCCCAATCGAATCTGGAGAAAACCGAAGTTCTTTCCCCGCTTTTTCTCGCCCTTGTGAGCCGATTTTCTCGGACAACAACGCAATTGTTGTATTGTAGACTTGGTTTAAATTTTACGACATTTTCATTTTAGTAGCTGTTTTTCGAATTTTATTACCGCCTTGGCGGAATCAGAAAAGATATCGAGGAAACAAAAGAAGAGGAAGAGGAAAAAAAAGAAACGCAAATAACTGCTGGCGTTCCATTGGCTCACCGCCGCAGCGCTCTGTGTCAAGTCCCACGTGGTACCTCGTGGGAACACATCCCCGCCGACCTTCGGATCGACGAGAGGGTCGGCTAGCCCATGCCCGCTTCGTCCAGAACTTCTGCAATTTGTCTCTGCTGAGCCACAAACGACAGTGAACTGTGCAGACTCAGACAGATCTGCAGCGGATTCGAGATACGCTATAACAGATTGTAGAGGGCTTCTCCGAACCATGGAATAGGAAGGCGTGCCAACGTGTGAAAGGGGAGCCCATCACCGCAGTGTGTGGTTGGGATGACGTGGTTCCTGGTTACGCGCGTTGCAGCTTCCCATCCGTCCGATTCCTCAGCTGTACGACTCCCTTACGACGGAGATTTTCCAACACGTGTCAGGACTCTCGCTCGCTCTGCATATAGGCGGGCGAGGGCTGATTCCTCAAATAACCCTCCGCAAGTTGACCACACCCTCACGCCGCCGTGAGCCTCAAGAAGAGGCCGCCTCTCAGTGGCCCAGGCTAAACGTTGTCAGGGCCGGCCCTCCTCTCATGAAGTGGCCAGAAAATGCAGGACTATCTTGGCCTCGCCACACCACCTGGGGGCCCGCACCGTTGAACCTCGTTCATGGTTTCTTTTGAGACCCTGGACGCGGAAGGTCAGGGCTAACTGGAGGAGAAGCAGACCGAACCATTAGCAGCACAACGGATTGTAGAACAATAGAGCCGCTCTCAAATTGAGGCCTCGAAAAAGGTTTCAAGACCAAAAAAAAGGTTTTGGGCGGAGGGGCGACGTTAGCGCGACTGCGCTACCTGGGTGCCTGCCCTCGATGTACTACCAGGAACGGGTTCGTAACTATCGAGGGTTAGGGCTTTGGTGGCGGCGTGGCTTGGGAACACTGTCCAACCCTGGGTATTCCCGAGGGATGGCGGAGCGTTCCTCCTTCTCACCTAGCGGTTAGCAGGTGTGTGCTCACTGTGAAATATCAGTGGCCAGAGGGATCTCCGACGGTTTGGTCTGTCTGCTGTTTGCTACAATCTCGGCTCGCGTCTCCGTAGTAAGAGATATTTGGGCAAGGGAAAGGCCTTATGCTGTTGAAGAGAAGATAATGAAGAGAGCTGCAGACTGGGGACAGTATGCTGAAGACGCCTTCACGGGTCAACTTATGGTATAACATCTCCTGGCTCTCACCTGGGGGGAGGGGGTGGTGTTTTCCTATGAATTGATTGGAGGCTCCGATAAATTATTATTCTATTATTTTTAGCCCTAGTTAGGTTTTGACTGAAAGCGTTGTAAGATTATAAGCAAATGGCGACTGAAAAGTCGCCTTCATCTCCTCCACAGTTAGATAAACAGCGCATACGCGAAATTCTGACCAAGTGCTATATAGATGGGATCCTCCCACCCCGTCTGGCACCGTCCAAAGTGGAAATCGGGGATGACTACATGAGAGTATCCATCAACCAGGATCTATACAAGATCCAGGTTGAATGGTTGCGAGAACACGCTCTTACGATCCTTTTTGGTGATGGGTCCACGACGATCCCCACGGACATTAAAAAACGCCTCGTACGGATCTATGAGAATGGTTGGGCCTCCTCGAGCCAACTGACCTCTCCACCGAAAAGGGGCTTGTTTCACAACGAAGGAATGAACCTAGTTACGTATGTAGCTCCTTCAAAGGAAGTTGCAGAGTGGATGCTTCCTGTGTCTACTACGCATATCGAACTCGATAACATTTTGTATTCGGTCTCTTTTCAACCATGGAAGACCGAACAGGAATTGTGGGAATGGAGGGAGGTAGCCAGGCATCGCTTTTTCTGGATACGTTGTCAACAAGTGCCTGTGGGAGCTCTTCCTTTCCTACCCGGAGCTATTCGAGATGCTTATGGGTGCGACCTTTTAAAGGAGTACCCTGCGTTCAAAGATAAATTGTGTCCTGCGTTGATGAACATCCGCTTTGACCTGGAGTCTGCAGCCAGACTGCGGTACAAAAAATATTTGATTATTGATTTGGGAGACGATGGTTATGTAGAGATTGAAGTGGTGTGCGCTGATACCCCATGGTGTCCGACTTGCATACAACACTTTCACACGCGTAATAAGAAATCCTTTGCCTCGGCGATAAAAGCAAAAGGGAAAGAGAAGAATCGGAAGGGGGAAAAATGAGGCAAAGGAGCCAAAGGGGACAAGAAAGCTGACGCAGAGAAAAGGGGGAAGCAAAACAATTCAAAGGACGAACAAACGGAGAAAGAGAAAGAGGAGGAAGGAAAGGAGAAAGGTACAAGTGAAGAAGGCTCGAAAAGGGAAAAGGTCGGGGGTGACGAGAGGAAGAAAGAAAAGGGTTTTCCATAAGTCAAGGAGAAGACGACAGATAAGGGTCAGGAAGAGAAGGAGGAGGACAGGGGTCGAAGGGCAGATAAAGATAAATGGGATGTAGTAGACAAGGAAGTCCCAAGTGGAAATGGCGGAACGCTGGGGGGACAGGGGGTAGAGCATGATGGAGAGAAGATGGAGGAGGACGTTGTCCCTCTTACAAAAGAGAAAAGAAAGAGATGTAACTCGGAAAGAGATCCCGACGAAGAAGAAGGTCTCCCGAGCTTTGTTGTACATGGCAATGAGTTAGTGATCCACAAGGATCACTCCCCCTCCCCTTCCTGGGAACGGGAAGAGGAGGAAGAAGAATCTAGTGCGATCAAGATATACGATAATGATATGTATAACTCACATCAATCTGATGACGGTTCGGATTCGGACCTAGACTTGAAGTCCTTATATGCACCCGATCGGCCTGTAGCCCACCCATCGGAGGGAAATTCAAAATTGTTTTCGCCCTCAGATGGAGAGGACTTCCGATCGGTGGGAAGCTCCTATAAATGGACTCCGACAGGGACACCAGCACGAGTAGAGAGCCCTCCAAAGGAGAAGTTCCCTCACCCACCTGAGAAAACACCGAGTATCTCCCCTGCTAAGAAGCAAAAGGCTTCAAAAAAACAAACGGGGAATCTGCTGACAAAAGACAAACCTGGCCAGCTAGTCAAAGTGAGACGCCCGGTGAAACAGACCCTAGATTTCGCCAAGCCGATGCAAACGATATCGAGGGAAGATAAAAGGAGAGCACAGATCAAAGAATTTCTCGTGCCCTTGATAGTTACACCTTCGGTTCGTGGCCCTATGGTCCTGACGAATATGGATCGGGACGAGCGTTTATCTATTTCCGCCCTTCCAGTGAAAGGATCTCTCCCAGATGACCAGTGCATTGATCTGGTCACAAGAGACGTGCTTGGTCGCCATGGAGTTTGCTCTATGGTCCCAGTACCGAGGAGAGGTCGCCATGTGGTGACCAATCCAACTGGCGGGAAGATATTGTTGCATATAGCAGTCTTGTGCTTGCATGCGGAAGGATTCGACATGGAGCAATTGCGTATGTAGAGCATTTATTGGTTGCCTCTCTTTCGCCTTCTGGACACTGATTCAGATGGTCTGAGAGATATTTCATTACCTGAAGCCCTTTTCGCTCAGGATGTGGCTGATTGGGTAGTGCAAACAGATGCGGCAGACTCCTTCTCATCGAAATCCTTTGCCATTCACTTGAATACCAAAAAGCTCATGGTTCCGATGGGACAAAAAGAACCGAGCAACAAAGACACAAGTCTAACTAGTCTGGCACGAAAACTGTCTACGGGCCGTATCCAAAACCCCCGGGGCAAGGGCGTAGACAATGGTTCTACCAAGTAGAATCAGGGTCTTAACCTGGAATGTCAGAGGTTTTGGAGACACAGCCAAAAAGTCTTAAAAAGCTAGATTTAAAGTCTGGTTTCATAAAGAAAACATCCAAATAGCCTGTATTCAGGAAACGAAATTGAATTATGACAAGCTGCGGGATATCCATCGCTGGTGGGACGGACCTCAGATATGGTCCCCTGCAGTAGGGTCAAAGGGGGGCGTTGCAATTTTGGTATCTAAGGATCTATAGATATTGACGTCATTGATTCCTATGCTGACCACGAGGGCCGGTGGGCCTGGCTGGAATTTACTATCAAAGACGAGGATTGGGCGGTTATGACAGTATATGCCCCAGTGCATTACGGTGACAGAATTGCTTTCTTTGATAATTTGATTACGAAGACTCCGGATGTGGAAAATTTGATTATCACTGGGGATTGGAACACAGCTCTAAACCCAGG